ACTTGAAGCGTTGAAATCACTCACGACACGTTCTTTCACTAATAGCGGCCTATAGTATTTATCACCATAAGTATTTGAGAGCATTCGATGAGCCTCAGCCGCAGATTTCTTCATATTGAAGCAGAAAATTAAAACCTCCCGCAAATGACGAGAATTTGGTTCGTAACTGATATTTTCAATCGAGAATAACTTTATGATGCAGACACAAATCGACTAATTTTTCTATGGGATTATGTTGACAGATGCCCAAGTTTATTGTATGACGTCTATGATCTATTTATTTCGACCACCACTTACCGCTAAAGCCATCTATAGGAAAACGGCGGAAGCAAAGTTGTACACCTAATAATATTTTAAGTTAATAGTTAAGGCAGTTCTTCATGCTTAATAATATTTATTGTGAATTTATACAATTTCCAGTTCAAGCTAATTGTGTATCACCGCTATAATTTATCGGTCTTGAAATACGATCCTAAGTCAAAGCTGGAATAGTTATATCACAATTCAATTGACAAGTTATTTAGTAATATTAATACTCGAAGCACCTTAAGATCTTAATAATTTAATGCTAATAAGCATCTTATATAAAACCTGTAAATAATTTTATATTTAAAAAAGTTTCACTTTGAATGTTGTTAACACTAAAGACTTCTGAAAATAAAATCAAAATGTTTACGAAATTAATTTATTCCCTTTCTCAAATCAGAAAAAAGTTCTTGTTACTTGATTAATAGCTGAAAAATAAATTGAATTATTTTTTTAAATACTTACATCATAGGCAACCAACAATTCCATTAATTGTTCTTTATGTGTTATTCTAATAATAGGATTCATAAATGCATCCAGAAAACGAATCATATATGGTGCCGTACGAATTCCTCTATAATTAATACCAGAATCTCTGGATGGATACAACATCAACACTGGATAACCATGGATTTTATTATACTGCGCTCTGCACTCTGAATCAGGATGCCAACAATTAATGGCTGCAAAAAATATCTAAGAACACACAATGCTCAAATACTTATAAACATATAAGGAGAAACGTAGGATACTGAATCACAATTTTGTACCTGCGGATGATAAAACCGAGCAACGCTTTCAAATTCGTGCCGAAGAGCCTGACTTTCTGCATCCCAGGGTGCATAATACATAATAAAGCTAAAATCTGCTTGTGTTAGCCTCTCGATCATTGCGTCTAGATGACCTTTATAGAAGTCTAGTATCACTGAATTTTGATCAAAAAAAGGTTTCGCTATGGGAGGCTTGGAAAGTTTGGGTGGCCTGCAAAATCCACGGTATCAGCATGTATATGTATATTGATAGTTGAGGATAAAATTTATATACTATAGTTGTTATAATCGCTTGTGTACGTGTACGTAAGAAGAAGGATCCAATTGCCCACGTCAAATTGGTCACTAAATGGTCAATTTAATATAAAATATTTTTATTGTAGTTTATATACATATATATATATATATATATATAGGGTAAAAGCGGGGATTATGGAATAGCTTTTTTTAAATTAACATTGCTCCGATATAAATGCATATGAAGACTTTAAATTTACACAGAACTCTTGAGGAATATGTTAGCTACAACATCCAATAAATGAAAGTCACCAAAATTTAAGTCCAACGTCAATATTAACAAAAAAGTCAAAAGTGAGAAAATGAGGGGTCTAAAAAATAAGATGTAATATAGAATATCGATGAAATTTTGACCATAGTAATAAATAACACAATAAATGAAGTCTAAATTTGTTTTTTATATAAACTGATCAAGAAATACAAACATAGCCTAAAACTTACGAACTGTGCAGAGCAGCCATAGCGGTAAAAGTAATCGCAAAGAGAAAACAGATAATTTCGTAGGAAAACATTTTAGCAGCCAGCCGTTCCTCTATCGCTAGCTTCTCTTGAGCCACGTCGTTATTTGACTCGGACGTGGATGTTGATGTAATCTGGCGTGGTAGGTTATCGGCATTTCTCGGCGAGCTCGTCTCGCGCTCCTTACTGGACACTCGCCCAGCCATCGCTTGTCGTCGCCGGCGTTCACCGCATCGCTGTTGCTCTCGTGCTTTTCCTCAATTTTGTCCGCCTACCGACCCCAAAATTATTTTTATCTATTCAATTATCAAAGCACAGAACATATACAAAGAGAAGCGCAAGCTCTGTGTCGCTTCGTGTTGAGCGATGGAAACGGAGAATAATCGTTGCGCCTCAAGTGGCTGGCAGAGAACTAATATCCTATATATGTGTATGTGTTGGAGCATACGATGCAATAAACCTACACATTCCCAGGTAGAGAGAGAGAGAGAGAGAGAGAGAGAGAGAGAGAGAGAGAGAGAACGTTATTTGCAGTCATTAATAATTTTATAAAAGAAATATATATGTGTGATCATGTATGGACATATTTCAAGTATGATTATACGTGTTTATAAATATTTATATATGTTTATACATATTCATGTGCATGAAAAATTTTTTACCGGGATAACTTTTTTTTTTAAAGAATACATAATTACAAAATGAAAATTAAATGCTTTTGTATACATTTACGAATTCTATTTATAATTAAAAATGGTTTATATTAATCAGTGTTGGGATTTATTTGCACATTTCGGCCGATTTTCAGCTTGGTTCCTATCTCTTACTTCACCAATCTGCGCACATTCTAAATACTGATTGACAGGAACCGAGCTAAAAGTTGGCCGAAATGTACAAGTAAATCCTAGCATTGGTATAAATGATTTACGTTGATTTTTATGTGAAAAGCGTTTAAGTAATGACAAGATGATTAAGATTAAACAATAAAATATAAAATATGGAGCTATAAATAAAACAAAGAAAATAAGAATTTTAATCAACACAATATATGAATTGTTGCACAATCTGACAAATTATTGTTAGGTATGCCTGTAGAGTAAAATTAAGTAATTTCTACAATGACAATAAAAAGTGAAGGCGATTCAACCTTTATTTAATATTTAACATTTCTTGACATATTTATTATTTAAGTACAGATAATTACAATATTGCTGTATCGAATATTAACTTTTATCCATAACTGATGGTATAACCCATAGACAGCATTAGTGTTTCTTTGATTGCCGGATGCAGTTGACGTTCGATGTATCTGGTCAATGCTTGGCTAGCACCCTGCAAAAACACTTCTTCCATTTCTTTCGTGATATACTCCTTAGATTGCCAATTTATTCTGTTCGGATCTTTCGAGTCTACAGAGAAGAGATTGTCAAAATTGTCGTTTACTACGAGATCCTGCAATATATGTTGTGATGGATCCTCATTCCGGAAATCGTCGGTTAGATTAAGAATTTTAGTAAAATTCACAGGTCTCTCTGTCGATTTACGTTTGTTTATCAGGATGTCCGTGAAGTTCCACGGTGTAATGACAAATGTAGCACGCGCGTACCGTGCCATTGAACGTTTCTGACGTGATGATAATTTGGTGATCCAAGAATTCTTCTTCCATACACCGAAGTTCGTCTCAGGGACATGCAAGTAACGCGAACGTCGATTCTCGTTCGGTATGACAATATCTATTTTTTCGGCGTTGCCCGTTAATTGCCTCGGTTCCGCCGCATCATACTTGTCGTTCAGAGATAACGACAATGTCGGTGTTATCTGTAATAGACAAAAATTATTTAACAAAAGTATTTATGGACATCCTATAAACCGCATCAATAAAAACCCGGTAACCAGTTATAACTGAACACAGAGTTGTACAAAACTGTAATTCAATTAACAATTACAAATTACAATTACAATGTAATTCTTAATTCAATTAGTAAGATAGTAAATTAATATCTTTTTATAATACATTTTGTTATGTGTGCGTGCACATGACATTTATTATACGTTTTTAGAAAAGATAATTTTTCCAATATGTAGCCTACCTTGTTAACGTTAGTTAAATGATACGGTGGCCATTTATCCTGCCGTTTGATTTGCTTATCGATGCGTGTAGTACGGCAGTCATAAGCATAGATCGATGCAAATCTGGGTTCCAGGAAACTGGACTCTGTACGTATACGCATCTGGCCGCGTCCCCGGGTGATCGGATTGGTGAGAAAGTCTATTCCCGCGCGCCTCAATCGCAGTGTCATTTTGCAGGATTCGGCGGAAATTAGGGCCTGATGATTTCGCGGTATTAGGGACACTATTCCTGACACTGACAGATCGTTGAATACAATGCGCGTCCTCAGAGAATTATGATCGGGATCGTACACGCATTGTTCCACTCGTGCCCAGTAACCCCTGGTCTCCTTCGTATTTTCTGAAAGCTACGAAATAGGCTAGGCCGTGTGCGTGACCTTCTTGTTATTCGCTCAATTATATTATTTTTTGCAAATAGCGACAGAAACACATCTAATTAACTTATATACGATAAAAATGTTGAATTTTTTTTAAATATTAATATTTCAAAACCAAAGAATTTCGGAAAATCTTGAATATATTGAAAATTTTGAAAAAAATCTTCAAATATTTTGAAAGTGTTTTTTTCAATGGTACTTTATGTGCACTAACAAAATACGTAAGTACCATTAAAAAATATACTTTTAAAATATTAGATAATATTAGATACCTTTAAGATATTAAATACGATAGCCTATTGTCAAGATCGTTAACATTTAAAATCTACCATATTTAATCCTCAACTATATACTGTTAATAACTAATATATATGTAATAGCGTACATATATTCTACAAGCGGCATAATACGCAGTATTGCCGCAAGATGGACTTGTTTTCCGTAAGGAGAAAATGACGCGGATCCCTATAAATAGGCATATGTAAACGAAATCCATCTGCACTTACTCTTGACTTGATCAGAGTGTGCTCGTAGAGTCTCTGAAAGTGCTTTTTTTAAAATAAAGTTATTAATAGTTAGTTTCTGTGATGCATACTCATTTCCTGCATTTTGTATCTTGCCGAAACGCGGATATATATAGAAGATCTTAGCACTACTCAGCATTACTAAACACTTCTGCACTACTACAGTAGTGCCTCAAAATACTCCTAGTGCTCAGTAGTACTTTTCTATAAGGGCTGACAGTGGTCAAAAAATGTCTAAAAGACGTCTTTTAGATATCTTATACAACATGCATGTTATCTAATAACGTAATAATGATTATATGTAGCACATATTACCATGAAACGTTAAATATACCATCGTTTTATAAAAAAAAAATCATTTTTTGTTAAAGTGTAGTTAAATATAAATTTCGAATATAAAATTAAATATAAAGAATATTATTCTTAAAAGAAGAGATGAAATTCGCTTTGTATCAAGTAAATTAAAAAAAGAGAGAAATCTTACTGTTTGAAAAAAATATTACCTTTACTGCCATACGGGAGACAGACATTTCCAGGGGAACGGAATGTAGTTCGCGCTGATACAACGTTCCAATCTCTTCTTCATCCAAATTGTTTCTTCTAATGGAATCCCTGTGTAGTGCGTCCAAGGCACGTTCTAACCGTCCACTGCACGCATCCCAATCGCTAATACCGGTATATGCAAAACCAATTGACAAGAGTTTAAATAGCCAAACCGCCGACTGTCTGAACTGCATTACCTACGGCAAATGTAACAATTCTGTTTATGGTTGCGTAAAAAAAAAAAATAATTACAATTAGCGGGTGCATTTGACTAAAAAGAAATTTTTTATTTTTTACAATCAATCACTGACAATGATAGAAAATGAGACGCGGAAAGAGCGTGGTGCTTTGTAATTAATGATATATTGGTCAAATTTTTGTATTTTGAGTCATACAACGATCATTACGGATTTATATAAGTGTGCATCTGTCTACGTCCTGCCATTAAAATATCTTCCAAAGCATATCCTGTAGAAACTTGATGAACTCGAGGCTCTGAAACAGAGCATGAAAGAGTCTCCATTCCGCTTGTCGTCAACAACAATCGAATTGTGTGAAACTAGGAAGTATGATCTTTTAAGTAGCTCGTTAATGTTAATTGTAAGACACAATGAAACAATAACGTAAATTTATGAATCTGTTAACCTGTCATCCTTGACAATCAGTTTTTTAAAAATCAGAATTATTAAATCAATAAAGGGTTATTTAATTAGAAATATGTTTAATCTGACAGAATCTTTTTTCGCTCTTTCTCTCTCTCTCTCTCTCTCTCTCTCTCCCTCCTCTTTCTCTCCTTCTCTCCATCTCTCTTTCTCTTTATTTTAATTAATAAACTTTATATATATATATATATATAGAATGTAGCTAAATCTACTAGGCTATCCTAAACTAAAAATTTATCGAAAAATTTAACGTTTAAGATAAAAGTAACTTTTTAAATAGATAGCATCTTGACCTAAGAGTATATTGCTGCAATTGGATACATGTGTATGACTGGTACTGTTTGCAACCTATACAGATAAATCAAATTGCGAGATTCTACGGCGTTGCTATGGCGAAATTGCATTGTTCATCCTTGTATGGTAATGCAAAATCCAATTCCATTCACCCCGTCACCGTTTTTACGCTTCGTTAATTGTTTTGGATGTATTCAACAAATATTTGCATAGCGGTTGGATAATTCGCTTCCCTAACACTTCTCATATTACTATTCAGAATAATAAGAGAATATTGGGATTTTATATGTATTCGATTATACCCAGTAAGCAAAACATCATTACTACAACGTTGTTGCAAGGATCTTCAATAATATATAACATTTTCAAATACGTTATATTTAACGTTGTATACAACATCATAATGAATAACCTTTAACTGCAATTTGGAGGTTTCTATAATATTTATATTTTATCATAAAATAATGTTATAAATAATGTGCGTTAATATTGAATCAATATCTCAAAAACGTTGAGTTACAATATTGTACAATATTGAAAAAGCATTACAAAAACGTTCCGTATTTGTTGGAGTAACATCTTATAAACATTGCAATTCAATATTCGAGAACATTGATTCAATATTTATTGACTATCATATAAACTTTCAACAATATTAGGTGCTTGAATTTACATAAAACTAAACGAAATATTTACAAAATACACTTCATTTGTTTTCATCTTGGCTCACCTTCTAAATATCATTTCATTAAAACACACATCAACATTTAACATTGCAACGTCTCAGCAACGTCTTTTTCAACATTATGTGCTATAGAGTTACAAAATATTCAGAATTTATATTATTAAACTATTTCTTAAAGATCTTCGGAAATATTTATATTATAAGGTAATTTATATTATAAGGTAATATTATACGATTAGATTTATAAAATATTAGATAAGAACGTCAATAAAATTCACATAAAATTAATATTTCAAAATATTAATTTAATGTTTCTTACTTACTGGGTAGTATCTTCGATTATAGTATTCTTCAAATATTTTTTATCAATATATCATATGCTATTGCAACTTGCAAGAACTTTCGTTCTTATGTACCTAAAATATAAATAATATTGTAAATTTTAAAAAGTTTCTTTACTAAGCCTGTTTATGCTTGATTTGACTATGTTTCTTTACAAAAACTAATATATTTGTATGATTTTATTTGCTTTACGTGTATATTTTTAAAAATCAAAATATGAGTTTAAAATATACCTTGATAAAAGGCGAACTGTTGTCAAACAGTATATCCTCCTTTTAACGCATTTATTTATAAAATTTCTAAGCACTTCAATATTAAATAAATACAAATTTAAGTAATAAAAAATTTTTAATGTTTTTTTAGAAATATGAAATGAAATTTTTATAGAAACATGAAATAAAAGAAAAATATTTAAAAAGTGTCTGTTATAATGTTATTTAAATTTTTCTAAAAAATTTAATTCTAACTAAATTTTAACTCTAAAATTTGAAAAGCTGAAAATGCTCTCGCGCTGTCAACACTTTACCCCGGACATTTTTGTCGCTTTGATTGTTATAATGCGTATGTTTCGTTCTACGGGAATTTTCTTATTTAAATTTGTAATTGATAAAAATTTATAATTCTGGAAAAAGATCGGACACTTACTTCGCAGAATATTTAGATCGCTCTCGTCTTGGGACGACAACAGGTATATTAGTTAGTGCTCGTAGAAACACACATGAAATCGCTTACACCTATCCCGTCGAGACATCGAAGAACAATGAAAGTGTGTGATACGCGCACACCTTTCGGACACGCATCGCGGCGATTTCCCACTGAAATCATCCTTTCCTTTTGGCAAACCGCGACGTTGCGCGCAGCTACTATGCAAGCGAGAGACGTGAGGTAAAAGGTAAAACAGACTTTATTAGAATGTAGACCGGATATATAGGGTGTGGAAAAAAGAAGTCGGAAAATATACGTTTTATAGAAAAATATTTCAGACAAAAGTTGTAGGGTTTAAAAAGATCAATTTACTCATATTATCAGTTTGACCTCGAATGTCGCCAAGGTCAGGTCAGATCAAGGTCAGGTCAAACATTGATTTTTTTTAAATGTAGCTTATTGAGAGCTATTCAAAACACTAATGACCAAATAAAATTTTTTTAATTAAAATATTTTTTTCAGTGTATTTATTTATGATTTTTAAATAAACAAATTTTTTTTGTTGCATTCTTTTGAATGCATTTTATGTATTTGGCGTATTTTCTTTTTACCTTTGTAAGATCTTTTTTATAGAATATTCTTATATAAAAATTGTTTACCGGGAGATCTGTGAAACAAAAATATACATAGCTTATATTGAACGCAGCTTTACATCCAGAAGAACGCAAAGCGCATGTCAAACAAATTAGATCTCTCCGTTCGGTGTGATTCGATGGCTCTCATGATAGTTTTACTGTGATTTTTTGTGTGCTTTCAATTCAGATTAATGAAAAATAAAACGCGGAAGATGAGCTTTTCCGAGTTGCGCGAAGTCGACCAAAGAATCCATCAGCTGACGGCAGGCAGGAAATTACGCGCAACGCATAAGACTGAATCAACTTTTAACAATGATGTTTATCGCAATTTTTCAAGGTTATATAACCGTGAAATCAAATTTTATGCCTCTTTTCCATCTCTTATATCCATTTCTACTAATGTAGATTAACTTTATTCTTGGTTTAACTTGTTTTAAGAATTAAAAAAAGATAGATAGTAAACTAAGATTAAAGTCATTAAAGTCAATCTACATTGGTAGAAATAAGCATTAGCTGCGTTTTTCTTTCATGCCTTTTTGATTTGAAATAAAACGAGCGTATATTCGTGCTTTCGAACAGAACGTGAAAGCTCCAATTTGTTGTAACCCGAAAAACTCAATTTCTTAGAATGCAACGTAATTGGACTAGCGGTCATAAATTTCTAAATGAACGTGAAAATGTAAGGGATGAGCAACAATCGCCTTTTGCTTTTCCTTCTTGTTCCCAAACCTTGTCCCATCTTCAATGGTGGAAAATGCAGAAAAAGAAAGCGATATCTAAACGCGACAGAAAAGTCTACAAGGATCGACATAAAATTTTGCAATCCCATAATATTTTACGAAGATTACACGTAAGTTGTGCTTATTTATTATTATTGACATCTCTGATGAGTATATTTATGTGTTGCAGTATAATATTATATAATTTAATCTATTAAATTCTCAAAATATATTAACCATTAATATATAAACCTTGGTGAAAAAAATTTCATAAGATCTCACAATATTTTAAAATATTTAAATTAAGCAGATTTCTGAAAAATATTAAATTTTTTTAGATTTTATAAGTTTTTTTCAGAAATTATAGAAAAATTATGAAAAAACTTAGAACGTTCTTACGAAGAAATTACGTACATTAATAATTTTGGAAAATATATACTTTTTTAGACATTTCTGAAAAATATTCCAATTTGTATAACAATTCGGAGAAATTTCTTAAAAAGTTGTAGGGGAAATTCGGGAGATTTGACCATATAGGAGAGTTGAACCACTTCAAATATTTCATTCAAATTTCAGGCTAAACAGTTGTCAAACCATGACATATGGATCATGTCATTTTGATTTCACATTTCTCGAAACATGACAAATAGTTGCCAGCTTGATAATCATGCAAGTGGTACGAAAATTTGAACGAGAAATATGAATAAATATGTAATTCAACTCTTCCATATGGTCAAGTCTCCTGGACTCCCCTATTATTTATATGTATAGAAATTCTAAAGAATTATGCAAAAAATTCTAAGGAAATTTTTGATCGGAATCGTCTTTTTATTTTTAAGTTTCGTAAAACATAGGAAAATAAAAAAGAAAGAAACTGAAAGAAAATTTCGGTAGATATATATTATGTTTCCTAAAAAATTTTGGCACAGGTGAACGTTGAGATAGAAGCAGAAGAAGCAAAAAAACACAAAGAGTTGGATAAAGTGATTGCTATGACGGATGTGGATCCACAGTATTTTACAGAATTATCCGGTAGACCTGTGAAAGAAAAGTTTTCATTGAAACAGTATATCCAAGATATAAGAGAAATATTAAAAACAAAACTTCTCATTAGTCAAGAAAAAGATGATTGTATTCGCATTGATCAACAATTTGAGCAAGAGACACACCGATTACGACAAATCCAGGTATAAACTTTAACGTAATTAAATTAATATTTTTTAAGAGAAATATTTATAAAATATTAACAATTACACAAGGCTGCGCTTTACAAAAACAATAAGAGTGCGGTTAAAATGTGTCGCCAATTCTGGCAGTGAAAGGATTAAAATAGGTACTAAATGAATCGCCTAATCTATATAATAGCTGCGCATTTAACAGAGAAAGCAACTTTGCTTACTGTTTTAAAATTCTTCAATACAAAGGATTGGTTTTACTTTTGATTCCTTATGGATCTAAATGTATAAATCAATCATACTAAATTATTATTTAAAAAAAATGATGATCGTGGTATATACATGTATAACTTCAATATTATCCTAATATCATGTACTGAGACATTACTGTCGAATTTACTAGATACTATTATACTACTGCACTAGCAATTTTTCTCCGTAAGGGCCCCTTCTATTCAAGAACGAAATTTGTATGTATCACCTAACTCAAACTCAAGTTTATTGATTAAATTTTAATATATTAATCTTTTTTTTTATGTGTATAACTTTGAAAAAATTCTTTATAATAATTCCTTTCTTATGCATTTTCTCTTCATAATTATTTCTCTCTTATACATTTTCTTTTATCATCAATAGTAACGAAAATAATTAGTTTGAATAAGACATTTTATATACGCGCAAGAAATGTCTTATCCAGCATGCGCAAGAAGCACCTTATCCGACACTATATGATACTAATTTTCCAAATAAATATATTTCGACATAAATTCATCCGTTTTACTATTTTGCAAAAGTATCGTTGTCGGCGATACGCAAACGGCTTCGAAGAATTCCTATCGAAAGATCACGAGAAAAGTATGCAAATGCTGAAGAAAGCGGAATGGGAAGCAAAACTGACGGAAGAGATTAGCACCCGGAGGAACGAGCTTGCGAAACAATTCGGTCAGAGTAGGTTGGACATTTATGTCTTGGAAGAGAATTGGAGATTAGTAAAAATGTGCCAGATGTTCCTTTATCGCGTGTCACCTGTCGCTTGGAGGATCAAGCATGACTGGCTCCAATCCGAATCAGAAAGGAGCATTACCTTTGTCGATACTCCATCGATGGACCTGTTTAACAGATACAAAACACTAGATGAAAGCGCATCCTTGGAGAAATTGATAGGTAATTCTAAGGACGAGATGTTTAGCGCTTAATACTTAAAAAAATTTTTTTTCTTAATGTACGAACAATCGTTTCGTGTTAGAATTATTCGAACAGGACACCACTGATGCCGGCCCGGCCGTGTTGTACTTCGATGATCCATTCGATTTAATCCGCATCTTCCGGGCAATGGAGACCCAGAATTTAAACGCACTTGTACATCTCGAATCCCTCGCCGCCCCGATGGCAGATATGACCATGACAATCACTATGACTGAAGCGCAAATCAAACGAGAGATCAGTGAAATTACTTCAACGATCAATGACTTAGAAGTTCGTACCAATTCAATTCGATCAGTTCATGTGATTTACAAATTGAACATGTTAATACATTTTGGATGTTTGAAAAAAGATTCTAAGATTTTAGTGATATACTTAACATTCAATGAAAAGAATAAAAGATTAATCAAAGTAGACCGAAAAGTGAATCATGTTAAAAACAAAAATAATTCCCAAAACTAAATTCATTAATACAAGTACTTACATTTTTATATATAGAGAGAACTATATGTCTACTTTTTAATTCACTCTGGCGAAAATTTTTCTCCTACAATTCTTCATATAATATTTTATAATTTTTATATGTACAAATTTAAAAATTCTCAGAATTTTTGTATAATTTTATAACTTTTTATAAAAAGTTTTTCAGAATATTTACGAATTCTAAGATATTTAATTCTATCATTTCTGAAGACAATTTAACAAATATAAATAAGAGTTTAAGGTAGTTTTCAGAAATCTTTATAAATTTAAAATACGAAAAATTCTTAAAGATATTACGAACTATAAAAATTTGATTACTAGGATAAATCAATTTTTCGATCTATGTTGATTGAGTGCTTACTTTTAATGAATACTTTTTAATGAATACTACATGCTTCTAAAGCATTGGATTTTTATATACAGAGTATTTCTGAAAAGTGGGGACAAACTTAAAAGGCTGATAATAAGAGATCTCATAATGGAAAAATTATTGTTTTAGAACTTTGTTCAATTATTGTTTTGCGATAAGTGTTCAAAATGATTCTTCAACCTCATTACTATTAACGATGTTTGACAAAAATTGATATCTATCCGTCTTGAGATGTCACTCGACATGCAAATTTTTCATATATAAGTTGTTTAATTTGACTATCACCTTTTGAAGTTCATCGTCATTTTTCGGAAACATTCTATACATAAAATATTTCAAATAAATTCTAAAATGAAATACGTTTTTCTTTTTTAAATTCTCAAATATTTTTAACATTAACAATTTAGTCTTACGAATCGAAGTATCCGATAGAATTTCATCGTCGAAGCAGAAAATAGAGCAGCAAATCTCCAGGAATACGCTAATTATCTTCTCCGAGATGTTTTTCGACATCTTGTCTGCTCTGAAGAAGTACTCTATCTTCGCGTTTTCATAGAAGATACCTATGAGAGTTGCATAGGTCCGAACGACGCGAATCTTGATAGTTTTTCGATGATGAAATGGATTGAAAAAATGCACGAGGAGCTTAATCTCCAGCTGGATAATCTGCCACGCGAAATTGTTCGTGCTTGTGAGCGAGAAGGATTCCGTCAAGAAATGAAGGTTATAAAGGAAGCGGAAGACGCCGCAAGAAAGGTAAATAATTTATATTAAACATTTATCTTTTACGTAAATGAGAGAACAGTCTTAAGAGATTAATCTCATGGAAAAGCTTTAAATTATTATATATGATTTTCGAAAGTAAATTAAAAGGAAAATTACGTTTTATGATAAAAAAAATATTTTATACGATTTAACACGAAAATATTACACCGATGTGAATGAAACTTAATATGTGTGCTTATTGTACTTTGAACTAAAAGAATATTGTCTTTCTCTCTTCTCTCTCTTTCCCTCTCTGAGGCTTCATTAAATATGGCGCCTCTAGAATTACTTGGAAATCATGGGAAATTCTGTAGAGTTCTGTGATATAATAATTTTTGACAAAATTAAAGCTGCTATTACTTGGATTGTTATTAATTACATCATATATGTTTCTGACTTTTAATGATTTTTTGATAACTTTGTTTACTCCGACATAATTATAAGTTATATTTTGTGACATTATGTATTTATTTTATATTATATGCAACATCGCTGAGAAAGACTTTGTAAGTTCAAGTTCAAAACGCATTTGTCTTTACGTAATAAGTTAAATTTTATTATCTTGATTAAAATATTGCTCGTTTGTCTTTTACTGTTTTTTATTGTTATTATTGTATATTATGAACCAAATAATTTACTTGTTATTTTGCAATTAAGTATGTAGTCTTGAATTTAACATCTTAAACAATGATTATGTTAAACGAATTGTTTCTTAATTTAACGCAAACAATATCTCAACTCGTAATAATTTGCATGATTGCTAGTTCGAACTAATGCATCGACTATTGGACGCTCTGAAGCGCGTTATGGAATTACCTGCGAGTAAGAAACGGCCACTAATTCGACGTTCAGTACCGATTATAACCAAGACGAAGCCGCCATTACATTTACCAAAACCGACGGAGGAGGAAATCCAATATCTTACCTTCTTCACCGATTACTGCAGATTACGCGATGACTTCGTCACATATCGTTCCAAGTTTCCGGATGATTTCAATTTGACATTCCAGAGCAAGCGAGATGATATCGAAAATAAAACGATATTTAATGATGTATCTTCGAGTCGAGAACAAATGCAGGAAAAGGAGAAAGAGGAAGAGGGAAAAGCAGAAGAAAAGAGAAAATGAATATACTATTGAAAACGTAACAGAATCAGCACATTTATTTGAAAATTCCGCGTGCGTATATATCCGAAAGGATTCTATCAGTCTAATGCGCTACGCATTGTCGATTACTTAGCGCTATTAATAATTAATATGTATACATAAATAGGCGATTTAACGATCAATGTTGAAGCACAAGATAAAATATTCAGAGATAATAAAACACAACAAGAGGCAACTACAGCGTACAATAGAATTCGGGACGATAGTCGATATAAAAACAACAATCATGCTTGATTTCTTGATTACAAAGCGCCAATTTATACATTCCTTCTTATAAACTTTATAAGAAGACTGCGATATACACTTCACCTTCAAGTATTTCTTTTTCTTTTTACACACACGAGCAACTTTTTTAAATAAAATCTCTACTACTAGAGATCACATACAGAATGGACCGAAAGTCTGGACAGTCGAATATCTCATAAAAAAAGTATTTTTGAGAAAAACGCTTTCATAAGCTTGTAAAATTTGAACATCAAACGGCGAGACTTATTTGATCTCGAGTGTAAGTATGGAGAAGTTCTCGAAGTCAACTTTAATTTTGAAAGTAAACGTCCATTTTTTCAATTAGCTGATGTCGAGATCTTTTTATTTCCTTTAATTAATAGGTCAAATCTAAGCAGAATCGTAAGGTTCGTAATTTAATCCTGTAAAACTTGTAAAAATTTATGACTAGTATTGTAATTTTAGTCACTGTAAGACGTACTATTATTCATGAATATCTACGATTTCTCGTTAATCTTATGGTTAGCAAGAACTTATGTAAAGTCTGTCTGTAAAGATACTGGATAAAATTATAAGCCATTTGCAAGTACTTCCAAGTCTGACGAGAATGTTATGAATCTTATGATTTAGTTTAGAATTGATCCGTCAGTCTTTTTCGAGATATGAGTTGACAAAGTTCAGGTACCGCCAATATTATTATAACATTATTCAAGATGTTCGATCAATAGCTCAAACTTCTTAAATGTTATTCGGAGTCATGATTTTGATAACGTTTGTCAAAATCAAGACCATTGAAAATTGTTCCTTTGATTTTCATTTTTAATGTAAAAATGAAAATAAGAGAAATAATCTGCAATGATCTTGACCTCCAGACTTTTGGCTCATCTTGTTATACATACACACACACACACACACACATCCACGCGCGCGCGTATGTATATATTTATATATATGTGCGTGCGTGTGCGCGCGCGTGTATGTATGTGTAGTGTCCCAGAAAAAGTGTAGGTCCTTTCACTGGCAGATTTTGTAGAACATTCTAGATGAAAATCTTATACAAAAATATTGAGACTAATACTTTTTAAATTATAAACGATTAAAGTTGGCAAATCGTATATGTTTCTTCCAACATAATTTTTACAATTAACCCTTTTTCTTTTATCTTTTGATACTGTCAAACAAATATGAACAATTTATTATGTATGAATACATTAAAACTGAATTAATATTTGTGACATTTTTTTCGGATTATTTGCTATTTGCTGAATTGTACATATAGGGTAAAAGCAGGGAATGTAGAATAGATTGCTAATATGGAATGGTGGCTTATTTTTTAAACAAAGCATTGCAATATAGCGGTAATCGTTGAAAGTTGTTGCAATTGCTACCAAACATATCATAATAAGCAATGAGCTCAGCAAAATGTTGTGAGTTCGTCAAAATAATATGTTTCATCACAATAAACATTTATTTATTTTCGTTGTAAGGAAATTCGGCATCTTTTTCTAAAAAGTGTTCTCACAAACTGAAGGTAAGTTTGTTAATGTTTATATTTAGGGATGCACCGGATATCTGAAAAATATTCAGTATCTGGTATTATCACTTTTTTATTATCCGACCGAATAGTCGGATATCATCCGGGAATATATTCGGTTAAAATTTTATATCATTAAATTTTTGATTTTTTATTATATAAATGTTATAGAAATAGGTATGCGTATTAATGACTAATATAGTCGACAGCTAGGATTTCCCACCAATTTGCCACGTACGCACTGCATGCTCTGATGCATCCCTATGCTACAGCCATTTTTTATATTTCTTAAAAAAAATTATTATTTGTATGCTGAAATATGTAAAACATAATGCCAAAACATTGTTTTCATATCTCCTTCCTTTTCTTACGAAAAAAAATTGGTAAAAAATACATAAATTTTAGACCTCTAGAGTAGAAACCTCCTCTTAATTTAAAAAACACTATTCCATATTCTCTGCTTTTAACCCTATAACTTTTTTCAGAAAATTATCAAAGTACGGAAATTATATAATCATTGTAGCATTGCTTATTTTAAAGTGCTGTTTACACCATTAATGTTTTAAAATAAAATTTCGGCAGTTAGGCACTAGTAAGTGCATCAGTTATGTCAATATTTAAAAGCGAGTCAATGTACAAGGACATCTTCGCAATCGCGTGCACGATGTGCCTGAGCGCGAAAATTTGAGATGCTGAATTTTATTCTTTTATAATTTGAAAGGTATTATAGCCATATTTTCGTATAAGACTTTTGTCTTAGAATGTTCCATGGAATCTACCAGTAAAAGGATTCGCACTCTTTCTGAGACACAACAAATAAAACGTCATTTTATAGAGAAAATTTATTTGTCAATTTCATTTGAGTTGTATATAAATCAGTTTACGAATGTCGACATGAAAGCATTAACCGAAGAAAAAAGGTTCAAAAATTAAAAAAAATTGTTTTTAAATTATTGTTAAAAGATACTGTTAACGCAGGTGAATAGAAATAATTTTATCATAAAACTTTTGTATAACACCTTTTTTATATTTTGAACAGTTTTTGAGATATAACTATTAAAAACACTAAAAACTACGCGTTACCTGCAAAAAGTGATTATTTAAAACTATTTTTTCGCATCATTTAATATTTTCTAAATTCATCTACATAATCCACATATATACGAAGTTTCATTTAACAGTTTCGTACAAAGATTCATAAATTTGACACTTCACGAGATTTTCTATATAAGTGTACTTTCACTTGAAACTTTTTTTAGATCCATATTTGTTGTGAAAACCTTTATAGAAAAGGGAGAGAATAGCATCACTGATGCTCGTGCAGGGTGCCAGAGAATTAAAGACATATGGCCGTCCGTTCACGCAGCTGCCTTGATCGAGTAGTACTGAATATCTCGCCTAATTATTTGCACTCAAGCCAATCCCATCACTTAAGGAAGGGCCTGACAAAATTTGCAAAATCTACGATATGGTTACAGTTCTTGCTTTGTAGAAAGAACTCAATGAAAAACATCTTTTCTTCGATGAGTAATACGTTCATTCTGACATTCATATATGTATAAACTGACTTGTACAATGACAAATGAAATTGACAAGTTTATCCTATAAAATAGCTTAAATGAAATTGACAAGTTTACCCTACAAAATAGCATTTCATATATTTCTTTCTGCTTACTTGTTGCGAAGTAATAATCGTTTAGTTTAGACCCAATCTTAATAGTCACCCTATATATGCATGTATATACAGGGTGTCTCTAAATTTCCGCATACGGAGTACAAGACGTGATACTTTACGCTAAAACAAACAACTTTTTCCGTTTGCAAAATTGCGTCTGATAAGTAATTTTTGCAGAAGAGCAGGTTCAAGTTATACAAGTAAACGTATAAATTATTTATCGAATGTAAATATTCGTTTTAGCACAAAAAACAACTTTTTCCTTTAGCAAAATTGCGTCCGATAAGTAGTTTTTGCAGAAAAGCAGATTGAAGTTAACAAATAAGAGCAAAAATTATTTATCGGACACAATTTTGCTAAAGGAAAAAGTTGTTTGTTTTAGTTAATATTTTATAAAGTATTACGTCTTGTATTCCGTGTGCGAGAATTTAGAGACACCCTGTATACATATACGTGCGTATGCGTGCGTGCATGTACTCACACGCACGCACGCATACGCACATATGCATACGAGTAAAATAGGGTGTTTGGAAATTCAACCGACCACATTCGTGTGGTCACACATATACAGGGTGTCTCAATAACTATTATCACCTTAGATATCTTTGAATCTATAAAGTTCAAAGGAAAATTTATGTTAAAATTGCATGGTACAAAGGGAGCTACCGTATAGCGATAATAATTTTTATCCGGGTAGAGGCGCTTCGGAGATTTTAAGGTCAACTTCGTTTATTTAAATGGAATTATATGATTTTTTAAATATATGATTCCACTAATTATTCTGCATGTAAAAGTATTAAGGTACAGATATCAAAAAACTAACAGTTTAAGAGAAATTTTATACTTTATTTTGGCACATATTGACATGAATATTAAACATCTCGTAAACTATTAATTTTTTTATGCGTTAATAAGATGAATCAATTGGTGTAAAGAAAATACAGTTACTAAAAAAAATATATATAGGCAAAATTAGTAATTTTTAAAATAAGCAATTGTGTTTTTATTATACAAATTGATTCATGTCATTATTATGTTCATAAAAATATTAAGGTACGATTATAAAAAAATTAATAGTTTACAAGATATTTAATATTTCATGTCAATATATGTCAAAATAAAGTATAAAATATTTCGTGAACTATATGTATATATATTGATATCTCTACCTTAATATAGGTATGCATACATATATATCCTCTAGAGATAATAGTAATTCCGCGACATATACAAATGACAAATAAGTGAGTTCTTGGTTCTTTCTAAATTTTTTTTGTACTTGTACATTAAATATAACAATATTGTGTTTTAGTGCCATTATTAATGATTTTCGGGAATTTTTAAAAAGTATAAATAACATTAGGCATTAATAACGTTCAGGCTGAAGGCGTGTTCCGATATACAGTACTGAAAATCTACAGTATACATAACGTAAACTATAGATTTTCAGTACTAGTAGTGCATATCGGAACACGGCCTGAGTTGTTCCATCTTTCGGAAAACTTCAGCTAATTGTCTTACACTCTTTTGTTCTTACTCTCTTATTCTTTTGTTTATCCAATACGTAAATTACTACATAATTTATCCGAAGATGGAACAAGAGCCCTGAGCGGTACAATTTATTGACATTAATAATCATCAATAAATAGCAGGGCGAAAGGAACTCGAAAGTTTTCTATAGAAACATATAGCGACATTTCGATAAGCAATATAATCTCATTAAAATCGCAAACATACTCATTTATTAAATAATTCGATTAATTCTGATAATTAAAAGAATAAAATTAAATCAACATCAAAAAATTTTTTCTGTACTATATCAAAGTTTATAATAACTATAACATATAAAAGTGCTTCTTTAAAATCCCTTCAATATATTCAATATATTCAATATGTTTAATGACAAGAGTTTTATAAAAAAAAGTTTATGAAATAAGTAACATCAAATTACTCGCACGTAATTAAAAAGAATATATTGCTGTGTTGCTTTATATTAAAAAATATGGCAGTAATTAATTTTTGCAACAAAATATCCAATTTCGCAAAGTAATTTATGACGATTTATATTGTCACAGATTTTTTGACATTAATTAACTTCGTTGCTCGTGTTAATGCATCTTTGCATTTGAAATTTGTGCCAGCATGAAATTACAACTTTTCCGATTTATTTACAATTATTTACTTACATTTATACCACTTTCACATCGACTCCTTTTTCTTTGTCGCAACGATAGATTTTCCTCAGTCGACTAGCATCGTCACACATTTATATTTACGATCATTTTAATCATTACATTGTTGCATACAAAATAAATCTAATTCAATATAAAATTTAATTCAATTATATAAAGAGAAGAAAAACTTACAATAGCACAAGGTCTATATCATTTCAAATTTGTAAATTTATTTGTAAATTTGTGCCAAA